TCAGTATTATTGTCTTGTAGCTGACTACAAATTATTAAAATAGTTTTCTTGTCATTAAGTGGAAAGTCAGACTCATTTCTTGGTAGCTACGATTAACATGCAGTGAAGCTCGGGGCCCAGAGATTGAGAGGTCCTTCAGGATAAAGAGGATAGGGATGCTCGTTGACGAGAAATCGGGAAAAAAAATACCCTATATAAATACAAAGACGATTCAGAAGTTAGTTTGATTTAGTTTACGGCACCTATTTAACGGTTTGACTGAATTCACAACGCATCAGCTACACGATGTACCTATTCCGTTAGTATATGCCTATTCCGCCTATAATCCGCTAAATCGGAAATCTCTAGTACAAAAGACACCACATAAGGCATGATGAACAGAAGATATTTGTACCCAATCTAGACCACAATACTTTCTTTTTTGTTTTGGAGTATTTATCATTAAGTATATACTGTACACATACTCTCCATCAGTAGAAAAATGTACATCCATGATGGCACCAGAGTGTCCTTTGAGAACAGCAAAGTTGTCACATTCATCATAAACATTCCATAAATCTGTGTTGGCAAAACAATAAAATAGTTATTATTTTAGTATAAATGCATGGGGAGGAGGTAAACCATTTTTACCTACTCATTCTACTTGAGAAGGTATCACTTTATTGGAGTTAATCTTCTCATTTGCTTGTAAAAGAAATTAACCTTACAGGGGTTCAGTTCCATTTGGAGCAGTAAAGAATTTTCATACAGGTAGCTTATCAAAATCCAGCAATTATTCATCCTCCCCACTAGGTTTGAAGGAGAAAGAATTTAACTGCAAACAAAAAAAACCATCTTAATTCTACCATACTTACAAACTAGTCTATCAAAGCCAACAGAAGCTAAAGTTTCTCCTGAAGGATGAAATCTTGCTGAACATATTTCTCCCTGTACGATACAAGACACATTAATGAAATCAGCTTCTCGAAATACATAATCATGAAGGTAAACAATGCAAAACTTCCATATGATAAAAACTTCCATATGATAAGGTACATAAAAACACTGAAATTTCACGGGTCTTCACTGGAACATCTAAATATTCTACACGAAATTGTTGAAACAGCTGAGCAACAGTATTCAAAACTTGAGTATTGAACGACCTTATACCATATGGTTAAGCACACCAAGATGCATGGCCACCATGTTTTTATCTTTTGACTCTCTTGGAAATGCAGCAATATAATTTTATGCTATTTTATCAAATAGAAGTTGACAAACCATATAAAAATCCTTTTGAATTGTTAATTATCTTTCAAAATACAGTGCTTCTTTCAGGAAATGGTACTATACAATTATTACAATTATTATTATTATTATTATTATTATTATTATTATTACAATTATTACTTCCGGCGCCTAACATGGCAGCCACATATTCTTTGTCTGTATATACGTTATTGTTTTTTATGGTTTGTCGCTGTTATGTAGTCCCTTTTTCTTATATTGATAATTATAACATTAATCGTCATTTGGATCTTGAAAGAAGTAAATCTCTGCACTTTGGTTTAGTGATTAATTCAGTGGTTTCAAGTTCATCTCCCTGGAATGTTTGTCTGTTAACTTCGTTTCGTCTCAAATCTGGTTTCTACAAGTCTCGTATTGCCGTTGGAAAAATATCTAAGCATGGTTATACTTCATTATCTATTCCTGGTCA